CAAAAAAGTACTCCAGAGTGTTGTTCAGCATGGGGGTGAGTAGAAAATGAAGGCTAATCATGTTTTGGGTGTACTATTCCTTTAAGTAAAAAAAAAAAAGATAGACATAACAAGATGGGCCCTTTTTTTTTTTTTATGAAAGATTCTGCAGTCAGATTTGCCTTTAAAAATCAGCCTTCTTCTGAATTTTGTTAAATTCAGTCGGAGAAATGAGGCATATCTGTGCCATTACTGCCCTTTGATCTGCGTGTTATAAAATTGCCATGTCTTTTTTTTTAATAACCTTTTTTTTCATGTTTAAGCGCCATGTTTCAATGGAAATTTTGCCATGTAGTTGGTTATTTAACAATATACAAACACATTTGCAAAATAGTTTAGAATAAAGAAAAAAAAGATGGTGCAATAATATGGCTTATTGCAATATTTAGCCTCCTTGAATAATCGCAGGGGGAATTCCTCAACCGCGACAGCCCTAGTTTTGTTTTTTAAATTGAGAGTTTTAGCCGATAGTTTAGTTTTTGTAATTCCTTTCCAGAGGCCTGCAGTCCCTGTTTGACTAGACGCGTCCATGTCTGTTTCTATCAGCAACAGGTGAACAGGAGCTACTCAGACTGAGGACCGTTGTTTAAAAAGGACTCAAAGGAAAACATATGTCCTCTGGATGTGCATCCTGTTTATGCCTTTACTAAGAGCCATGCCCCATATGTGTTGATGACCATCACCCAGCAGTAGTCTGGAGCACCTCTGTTACCTGGAGCTAGTTTGCACCTTTTCCCTTTTTTACCATTTGCATCATTTCTCCTTTGCTTTTGTCTTTTAATCTGTTTTTATTGTTGTTTGCTTTACTTTTTGTTAGCGATGTGGCGATGCATGTTTTATATTGCACTTTTTAATGTTGACAGATATGCTGGTGAAGATTCTCAGTCATCCGGGTCACATGGCTTAGAGAACATGTTGTGCTGCTCTATAAGCCTGGAACTCAATGCTGATCCAGACAATTTCAATTGAGAAAATTTCCTGGATGTGAAGCCAAACGTCTTCAAACTTGGAAAATAAAGTCCAGTAGTTTATTTTTTAAATCTTTTCTGGAAAATTGTCCGATACAGATATTTACCACAGATGACAAATCAGAAGAGTCATACATACTTTTCCCTCTCTCTCCACTGCATTTCCTGTGAGATCACTTTCAAAATAAAAGCCACTAGTGCCACATAAAAAAAAATCCTTCATAATCATCCCAGCTCATTACTAAAAGAACATCTGATTTTAATCTTTTTTATTAGCTGAACTATTAGGGTTATATTCAGTGAATTTGTGTCAGTGACTTGTGTCCATGACAACCAATCAACAGTCACTTTAATTAGTAAATATAAACGGGAGCATTAGAGAGTAGTTTGATCTGTTTAAATGCAGCAGTTCTGGTTCTGGCCTCAGATCTAACGTTGGACTGAAACCCTCTCTTCCCTCTCTAGATTCTACAGATCCTGGTGAGGGCGGTTGTTGAGAACCTGACCGACAGCCAGGGGGCGCAGGCGGGCACGCTGAAGCCCAAACTGAAGGAGCTTCTGGGCCGCGTCAGTGCACGCCACAGTAGTGATGCTGAAGTATGGCGGCAGTATGCCCAGCTGTACGGCGGGGGGCGTGGCTTGAATCCAGATGACAACGAGAAGGTGGGTTCATCTGAATCTGGGATTATTCTTCAGGAGATTAAGGACCGGAAAGCTGTAACTGTATAAATCAGTGATACAAAGCCAGACCCGGCTCCATGTCTGGACCAGTGCTCAGGATGTTGTAGCTTATTGCAGTGACTCATAGTAACAGCAAGTACTGAGCAGATGTTGTCGTGTGCAGGCGCTGCAGTTCCTGTCCAAAGCTCATCGCTGTGAGGTTCAGACCAGCGGCTGGGATAAGGACCCTGCTCTTTTCAAGGAGGTGATCAAAAGAGCCATGGACATGGCAGAGGGTGAGGAGGGCACCGCTCATATCTTTACTCTTTAAGGAGACCCACTCAGATGTTCGGCTGGAGAAAAAAGCTACTGAATAGAAGCAGCATCCCTGTGCAGCAGCTGTTGGGCTCAGCAGCAGAGGGATGGTGATCAGCAGCAGAGGGATGGTGATCCTCCTTCAGAGTCTCTTCCTGCAGTTTTCTCTTAATGTTTAGATGAATCATGATCTAGTTATTTAGTCAACTGGTTTCTGTGGGTTCATTCATTTTGTTTTTCAGGTCTTTCCTTATGGAAGAAAAACAGTCTAATTGGAATCTGCCTCTTTTTGTACACAGTTTTTTTTAACACTGACTTTTAGACGCGTTGAATTCATTAACCTCAATTTTTATCTGGCAAAAATTGGCCTGAAAAAAATTCTCCTGCAAATCTGTTGACCTTTTGGTGAACTCAAGCCAAAACCATCTATACTCGATGCAGTCGAGCAGCTTCTAGCCCATGAAATTAGTAAATTTTTTGCAGCTGAATTTTAACCAGATAAAAATTCAGTGTAAGGAATTCAATGTGTAAAAAATTCCAATGAGAAAATTTTTCTTCCATATTTCCTGTTTCATCCATTTAAACCAAAAGAGTCCAGAATAGATAAATCTACAGACATGTTCTGATTCTGTTTCTGTCGTTCAGTGAGCATCAGCTGCAGTGAGAAGAAGAGCAATCCAGCAGAAGCTCTCCAGATGCTCTCCTCCTCTCGCCTCAGTCTGAGGAGCCTGGCCACCAAAGCCAAGGTAACCTCAGCCTTGGTAGCGGCTAATGCTAACGACACACATCCAGTGTTTCACTTTTTCACCCCAAAATAGGAAGTTCTGCTTTTTCCGGCTTTCCAGCCAAACTAATAAACCATATCTTCCCTCTGCAGCAAATCCACACCGATGTTGCATCGGGGGAAATCCACGCTGAGCTGCAGGACAGCGTTGCCTCTCTGGAGCAGCTGATCACGGAGCTGCAGGAGCTGAGCGGCAGACTGCGGAACCAGACCCAGTGATTTCCAGACGTGACCCGCATCTGATGAAGGCTGATGTGTCGCCTGCATGTTCATCATGAAATGTTTATATTTTTTTTAATCGAATGGATGTTTTAAGAAGTAAAGTTGATAGTAAAAGACTGTGTGTGGGATTTTCCTTTGTGATAACAGATATTAAAGCTGACATAAGCTGTTTTAAAGGAAAACCAAATTATTTCTGTCTGACCTGATCCTGTTTTTGGTCGCCATGGATACCACAACCTTTTTTATCCACTAAACATCAGAATATTACCCATAACATACCTATATTATTACCAGCAAACCCATAATCCATACGCATGTGCAAGACATATTTGCATTTACCTCTTTAGTTTTGTACTTTAAACTACCTCAATGCGTGTGTATCCCTTTAGACATGTACAAAAAAAAACAATTAAAAGTCAGATCACCATAAGCTTCAAAAAACACCAAAAAATAAAGTTATTAAATTGTTTTTTGAGCTTGCACATTTAGAGGATGTTTGGCTCAACCTGCTGCTGTGAAGCAGGATTCTCCACCATGAACAGAATCAAAAATAAATCTGGATCCAGGCTCAGAATGAGCTCCTTGATCTGTGCTTTAGAATGGCTTGTTGCAGTGATCATCCATGGCAGCTGGACAGGCAGATATAAACTGGAACAG